ATACTTTATGTCAATCCTTTCCGGCCTGAAGTGTTTCTGTTGAGAAATCAGCTAAGAGCTTTATGGGAACTCCCTTATAGATGAATGACTATTTCTCTCTTGCTGCCTTTAAGATTTCCTCTTTGTCTTTAACTTTGGCCATTTTAATTGTGATGGTTTTGGTGTGGGTCTGTTTGGGTTCATCTTGATTGGGACTCTCTGTGCTTCCTGAACTTGTGTGATATTTTCCTGAATCAGGCTAGGGAAGTTTTCTGTCATTTCTTCAAACAGGTTCTCTTTCACTTGCTTACTTTATTCTCCTTTTAGTACTCCTATGATGTGGATGTTATGTTTCATACTGTCCCAAAGTTCCCTTCAACTATCCTCCTGCTTTTTTTTTTTTAAAGAAGGTAATTAAGGACTTGTATGCACGCATATAAGCATAAGTGATGGATGTGGACAACAGGGGGTGAGGGTGAGGGCAGGATTGGGTGGATGAGGGGACACTGGGGGGATAAGGACACATTTGTAATATCTTATTCAATAAAGGGGGGAAAAAGAAGGTAATTAACCTTTAGAGAGAGATAAAGGGAGAGGGAGAAAACATCGACGTGAGATGTTTTGATCCACCTAGCAGGGATCGAGCCCACAACCCAGGACTGTGCCGTGATGGGGAATCGAATCGGCAACCTTTCGGTGCATGGGATGACACCTAATCAACTGAACCATACCGGCCAGGGCTCAGTGGTGCAGTCTCCTTGAACTCCTGAGTTGGCTGCTCTAGGGAATGTCTTCTGTGTAGGTTATTTGGGCCCTCTTGTTGTAATTGGGTCTTGGTTGCTGTTGGCCTGTTCGTGGGTGGGATCAACTGTCAGGCTGGCTATGAGTCTCAACCCAACCATGGCATGTAAACTGCTGTGCAGGTGCAGTCTTGACGTGTCTTGTTAGGCTCAGCGACACAATCATTAACCCTTCAAGCTGGTTGTCTATAGAGGTAAACCTGATCACCATGTAGGAGACACTGTGCAGGCACTGCCCTCCCCCGCCCCCCTCAGGTGAGGTTGTTCCCCGAGGGTCTGGAGCCTGAGATCCCTCTTTGTGTGTGCCATTTGTGTGTCTAGTTGGGTCAGCTCTGGTGTGGTCTGAAGCCCATCACTAGTTGTGTTGATTCTGGGTCCTCTTGGGTGGGTTTCAGATAAAGGTCACTGGCCTTGGGCTACCTGTCTATAGCTATCACTCTGTTTTCTGTTTGTGTCTGTGTCTACTAGACCTGGGATGGAGGTAGGTGGGGGGGTCAACCTGTGTAATGGGTTGGCTTCTTCAAGCTTAGAGGTCAGGGCATATCTGTGGTCAGACAGAGGTTGCCTGAGGTCCCCTCCACCTGTAAGCTATTCTGCCTCTCCCCTGAGGTTGCTTGGTTTTCCTGCAGAGCCTTCTGAAAAAGGTCTGTAGGATTAACCCAGGTGAGCCTAACTCAGGCTAGTACGCCCCCTGCTTGGGGATTACACAGCCAGGCACTCAGTGAAGGGAAATCAGTCCCTGCTTCAAAGCCAAACTCCTGTCTCAGCCACAGTCTCCAACTCTAGTTCCATCTGTCTCCCTGACAGAAGCCTCCCCAGTAGACAGTCCAAAAATCCCAGCTCTGCACAGCAACAATGATCCTGAGCCACTAAACCAAGCAGAAAATCAGCTCTGCATGCAACTCTGATTTCTATGTGGCTGTTCTCAGTGAAGCAGGGCCCAAATTCCCAGTTCTGCTTGGGCTCCAAACCCTACAGTGCAGACTAAAAATCCCAGACCTGCACTGCTCCTGTCCCCAGCAGGACGGGGCAAGAATGGTGGCTCCACAGGTGGGGGGAGGTGCTCTGACCTTGTACTCAAGGTGGGAGAGACTGTTCCATTTTTCCCCAATCCACACAGTTCAGTCACTGACTAGGGCTCTGCCCAATGCCTTTCCAGAAAATAGAGGGTCTCTAAAAGTTACTGCTGGGTGCAGCCCATAGACTTCTTCGCTGGACCCAAACATGGTTGTGTAGCAGTTGGAGTCTAGAGCCAACTTCTCTGGCTGGGGCTGCTAACAACAGGAGCACTTCTTCACTTAAAAGGTGAGGTCCAAGTCTCCCAGGCAGACAGAATCCCTCTGATTCCCTTTGCCCGATGCTTCACGGGCTCTTCTTCCTGTCTCTCACTCTGAGTTGGGGAGCCCTGTGTGGGGTTGAGACCCCACACTCCCAGGCAGAGGGAGCTTTCCAGCTGCAATATCCCTCTGGCCTCAGCTGTCACACCTGCTAGAGAGGGGCTTTCCCTTTCCATGTCTGTGCTCCTCTTACCAGTCTCTCTGTGGCTTCTTCAGTGCTCCTGAGATATATTTCAGATCAGCTACACTTCAAGTTTTTCAAGTTGATTGCTCTGCACTGTGCTGGGAGCGGGTGCACGCAGTCTCCAGCTAAGCTGCAGCCATCTTGTATTCCTCAAGCTGCTTTTCAACGTCCTTCAAATACTTTAGTAGCATCCATGACAAGATAAATAAAATTCACAAGTTAAAAGCATACCATTCTTACCTACTCTCTCAAGTAGTTCTAAGAACCTCCTCAAGGCAGCATTGTTAAAAAAGACTGTGTCCTTACATTAAAGTAGTAAACTTCACCTATTTAAATATACCATTATTCAGACTTTCCACTAATTTAAACTTACTTACTCTTTCTAAATAAGTGAGGTTACTGCATATAAACACCATCCTCAAGTTCATTAACTGGACTCTTATATTACTGTAACAAATAATACCTTCAGTAACACTCATGTTCTCAGCCTAATCATTTAATTGTTTTTATCATATGCTACCAGTAGTACATTAAAAGGATGTTTAAGAAATAACATGTAATGACAATTAGCTTTGGGGGAAACTACCTTATTACAGACACATTTACTAATTTGGTGCCTAATGAAATCAAGTCAAATAAGCTCGTTAAAAATTCAATAGGTTGCTTTTCAGCTTTCAAATCCACTCTGTGTCTTCCTTATAAACCATCAGCAATGAGAAATGAAACTGTCTCCACTTTATAATAGTGTTGAAATCCTCAGTTTCTAAATTTCACGGTGGAGTACTAATAGAAACTCAATCAAGAAATGAAATGTTATCAAAATGTCACAGAGCTACAGTAATTAAAATAAGGTAGTAGTGGCACATGAATCAATGAAACCAAACAGTACAGAATTTTTAGCCACACACATATGTGAATTCAGTAGCTGCTAAAATGGCACTTCAAGTCAGTGACTAAAGAAAGGACTAGTTAACCCTAACTCATAGTAAAACAAAAAGAAATCCCAGAGGATTAACACTTTTTAAAAATTATTAAAAGAAAACTAGAAAATAGTCTTGTAGTTCTTGAAGTAAGAAAGCCTTCCTAAACAAGAATAAAAATGAGGCGAAGTACAGAGGATTTTTAGGGCTGTGAAACTACTCTGTTTGATAGTATAATGGTGGATAAATAAATGTTATTTTACATTTGTCCAAAACCACAGAATGGACAACACCAAGAGTGAACCTTAATGTAAACTGTGGATGCTGGGTAATAATGACGTGTCAACACAGGCTCATCGATTGTAACAAATGTACCGCTCTGGTGGGGGATGTTGATGATGGGAGAGGCTATGCATGTATGGGAGCGGGGAGTATATGGGAAATCTCTGTACCTTCTGCTTTATTTTGCTATGAATTTAAAACTGCTCTAAAAAATAAAGTTTATTCAAATTTTAAAAACAGGGAGAGAACTTCAAAGGAATAAAACAATTAAAAGATTGGCAACATGACTACCTAGAAATATACAACTTTGATTTAAAAATCTTTTTCTAAAGTCTAAAATATATTTTGGGTGTGAACACAAAAAAAAAGAAAAAAAGAATAGGAATATATGTATCATATTGGTAGCCATCTGTGCGGAGAGAAGGATTAGGGAGGAAGAGAAATGTCCTGTATACAGAATATTCTTATTGCTTGAAGTTTTTATCATTACTACATCTTACTTAGGAAATTATCTTAACAAAAATTTTTAAAATAAAATGTAAGACACAATATAATTTAATCCCAGAACAGACATTTAAATATAATATCAAATCTAAAAAACTTTCAAATGATATGAGAATGTCACTTTTTCCATTGCATTTAATAATTACATGATGTTTAAAGTAGAATTAAAATCTTCATCAGTAGTCAGATGTTAACTAGAATGATTGTGGTCATTTCAATTATATATATATATATATCACACACACACACATATATCTCTTATCTAATCTAATAAAAGACAAAAAGGGTAATTGACCATACCTTCGCTACACTTCCCATTGACTAATCAGGGTGATATGCAAATTGACCGCCAACAAAGATGGCGGTTAATTTGCATATGTAGGCTCCAAGCAGTGGAGCGAAGCCAAATGTCCCCGA